AAAGGTATAAACTTTTCAGTTACAAGATGACTACGTTTGGGGAATCTTTTATATAGCATGGTGATTATTGTTAACAATACTGTATTCATGTATACATGAAAGTTGCTAGGTGAATAGATCTTAAATGTTCTCATCATAAAAAGGAAATTGTAATTATGTGACGTGATGGAGGTGTGAATGCTCTGGTGGTATTTATTTTGCAGAATATAAGTGTATCAAATGAACACATTGTACACCTTAAACTTATATGTTAATTATATCTCAGTAAAGTTGGAAAAAGCCCAGTTTTTATACCTGTATTCCATGGAGAAGTAAAAGGATAGGTTGAACATGTACATGTAGACACATGGAAGGTATTTTTTTTTTAATCCAAATCAAACTTCTTGGAGATAAAAATTATGTCTGATTTGAAAAATAACGCTGGATGGAATTAACAATAGATTAGACATTGTAGAAGGAAAGATTATTGAAGATATAGCAATAAAAGTTAGACAAAATGAAACACATGAAAAGACTAAAAAAGTACATAGAATATTAGTGCTCTGTGGTAACAACTAGAAATCTGGACCTACAGAAGGGAATTAAGGACCAGAAATGGTAACTATGTAGGTTCAATGAAGCATTTTTTAAAAATTTAAATCTCATTAAAAGACAATAAACTGTTGAAAGCAAAAATAACAAAAATATATTGTGGGTGTATAATATGTAGAAGTAAAATATAGGACAACAATAGTATTCAGGCAGGTAGAGGAGAAATGGAAGTGTTACAAAACAAATGTTAAACATAAACTTTGAGAAAGAAAGAAAGCTATCTTCACAGATGACATGATTGTTTATACGGAAAATTCAAAAGAATCTACAGACAAACTCTTAGAATTAATAAATGAACTTTAACGTTCTTGATACAAGATCAGTGTTTGACTTTAGAAATCAGGGCGCCTGGGTGGCTCAGTTGGTTAATCGGCTGCCTTCGGCTCAGGTCATGATCCCGGGGTCCTGGGATCGAGTCCCGCATCGGGCTCCCTGCTCTGCGGGTAGCCTGCTTCTCCCTCTCCCTGCCTCTCTGCCTACTTGTGCTCTCTATCTCTCTGTCAAATAAATAAATAAAATCTTTAAAAAAATAAAAGAAATCAATTGCATTTCTGTGTATAAGTCAATTAGAAAATAAGATTAAAGAGATAAAACTTACGTTAGCATTCAGAAACATTAAATACCTAGGATTAAGTGGAAGATGAACTCTACACAGAAAACTATAAAAAATTACTGAGAAAACGAAGATGTAAATAAGTATATAATTTCCATAGGGAAGATTATTGTAAAGAAGTCAGTTTTTCCTAAATTGATCTACAGATTTAATATCCCAATCAAAGGTCCACAGTGCTTTTTGGGGGAAGGGATGGGAGTAGAAAATGACCAGCTGATCTTAAAATATAAATGGGAATCCAAATGGCAAGTGGTAGTTGAAGATAATGTTGAAAGAAAAGGTATGGTAGAGGATTTATACTTCGAGATACCAAGAGTAAACCTACAATAATTTAAAGAGTGGTATTCGCAGAAGACAAATAGACTTATGGAACACAACTCAGTGATGTCTTTCAACAAATAGTGCTGAATCAATGGGAAAATCAGATTTTCCGTTCACAAAAATAAATTCCAGATGGAGCTGAGCTATAAATGATAAAACTATAAAGGTCTCAATTGGGTGAAAAAAAAATGAATTTTAAGGAATGTAAGAAAGGAAGTAATAAAGATGTAAGAGCAGATATTAGTGTAATAGAAAACAAAGCTTTGTGTAATCCTTTACCTGATTTTACTGTAAAAGGACAGAAAAGGATATACATTCCATGAGTCCATTTATACTTTGTTCAAAAAAAAAAAAACAGATAAACCAACTAATAGTGGCAGAAGTTGGTATAGTGGGTGTCTTTGTCAGCGATGGGGATGGATGGTGCATGATTGGGAGAGCAAATGAATGGGCCTTCAGGAGTCCGTGTTATGTTCTATATCAGAGGTTCTGTGGTCTGTGAACACCTAGGTAACTAAGACCTTTTTTAGGGATTCCATGAGGTCAGGCTGTTTTTATGATAATACTAAAATATTATTTGCCTTTTCCTTTATTTTTGTATTTTCATTGATGCAGCAAAAGCAGTAGTATGTAAATGTTAGCACAAATCAAAGCAGTAATACCAAAGTGTACTAGCAGTTATTGTATTCTTCACTGCCCACAGCCCTCAGGTTGAAAAAAAGAATACCAGTTTAACTTAATGATATCCTTGGTGAAACAGGAAAAATAGTTTTATTAAGTTGTGACCTTTGAGTACATGTCTTTTTGCTCTTCTCTGATGAAATGGGAAGTATGCATAAAACACTTAGACTACATGCTGAAGTACATTGGTTACTTCAAGAAGAGCAACCTTCCTTGTGTGGTTGTTTGAGTTGGATATGGAGCTGCTGCTTTGTTCATGGATCTTTGTTTTTACCTGAAAGAACAATTGACACTGATTATTCAGATTTGGCAGATGTTTTCTTGATAAGAAACAAAGTGAGTTTGTCACCTCAAGGAAAACAATTGATAGTATCCTTTGCCAGTGATAAAATTTGAGCTTTTAAAGCAAAAAACGGAAGTTTGGAAAACTTTTATCCACCACAGTGAGTCTGATAGCAGACTTTAAAGACTTCTTTAAAAAAAATCATTGGTTATGTTAGCACATATGAGTTTTAATGTTGTATAATGAAATGTGTCAGTATTTGGAAGATCTGTATAACTTTGTGAACCAGTATTTTCCAAATGGCTAATGCATAATGTTATAAAATCATGCTTGGATGAATGATCCATTCAAAGTACAAGGTAGAACAGAGGATTTTAGTGTAACAGTATGAAAAATTTATTGGTATGTTTTTAGATCCACATTGCAACTCATCTTTAAAAAATTATCACTTGTCACGTTTTGGTGTAGTATCAAAAAAGACCATCCACTATAATCTGAAAGTCTGTTAAAATTTCCCTTTTCCAAATAGATATATATGTGTTGCTGGGCTTTCTTTGTATTGTTCCACCTAAAAAACTTATTGCAGCAGATGGAATACAGAAGTGGATAAGAGAATCCAGCTGTTTCCTGTTAAGCCAGGCATTGAGATTTACAAAAATGTAAAACAAGGGAACTCTTTCTAATTCTGTTTATTGGGAGAAAATATTTCTTATGTTAACATTTAATTGGGTTTATAATTGTTATTTTTAAATTAATATGTTTTAATATATAATATGCCAATTATTATTTTTGGGGGGACATAATATGCCAACTATTAATAGATGTATCAGCACAAACAAGCTCCTTGACTCTTCAATTTTTTAAGACTGCAGAAGTGTTCTAGGATCAAAATTTGAGGCTGTTCTATACTTGTTCTACATTACTTATTACTACATTACTTATGATTACATAAGTATGCCCATTTTGTAATAAATAAGTAATCTGTATACTTTGTGTATATCTTACATTTTAATAAAAATGTTTATCCTCTTTCCAGATAAAAAATAAGCTATTAAGATTTTGTCCAAGATTTCTGACTTGAGTGGTAGGTAACTGAGCATGGACAGGAGAGAGTGTGAATGGGGGACAGTTCAGTTTTGCCCTCAGTAGAGAGAGATACATGCCTAGTTTTCTACATATTTGGCCTCTTTTGGCAGATGTTTGTAGCATTTAGCGTGATCCCATTCTTAGCACAAACAGAAGGATGGTGATAGCTCAATTGGTTTATTTAGTCAGCAAATATTTCTTAATTGTATACTGAGTAGAAAGCACTTATGTTGCTTATGATTCCTTACTGGGGACTCAAGGAGCTACAATCTAATAGTGGGTAAAAATTAGTTTTACCGTAAAGCTAAATGTATTGTGTCCATGGAAGTAGGAGCATAGAAAGGAAAGTTGGTTGTACTTTATGAATAGAACCTTGAGGGATAATTAGGCTAGTTATCTGTTTTAAAAGTATTTTTTTGTTTCTAATTAAAAATTATGATGGTAATATCAGTGATAAAAGTCTTCAGGAATACCTAGCCCCTTGTTAATTTGATTTATAGTCCTTAGCATCTAATGTATAAGTTAGCATCTTATTGTTATTTTTTTAAGATTTATTTATTTATTTGGGGGGAGGAGGGGCAGAGGGAGAGAGAATCTCAAGCAGACTCTGTGCTGAGCGTGGAGCCTGATGTGGGGCTTGATCCCACAACCCTGAGATCATGACCTGAGCTGAAACCAAGGGTCGGATGTTTAACTCACTGAGCCACCTAGGTGCCCAGTAATTGTTGCTATTTTTAAAAATTAGATCACATACCTATGATTTTGCAAGTACATTGGACAGTTGAGTGTCCAGTTTTCAGTAATATAACCAGTATGATGCGTGTGATTTTTAAAAATTCCTTTTTTGTGTTCTTTTCAATGCCTAATATTTTGATAGAAGAGAATAACAGTTTTGCTTAAAGCTTGAGTAAAAAGTTTATACACTGTAGAAATACTTAACGGGTGCCTGGGTGGCTCAGTTGATTAAGCGACTGCCTTCGGCTCAGGTCATGATCCTGGAATCCTGGGATTGAGTCCCGCATCGGGCTCCCTGCTCAGCGGGGAGTCTGCTTCTCCCTCTGACCCTCCCCACTCTCATGCTCTCTCTATCTCATTCTCTCTCTCAAATAAATAAATAAAATCTTAAAAAAAAAAAGAAATACTTAACAGTGAAAACCCGTAATCCCCTTATTAAATGTGGATGAACTAATTATACTTGATAGTATATTGAATTTATGTACTTTCGGATAGGATATTTTTCAGTTTGAGAGTAATTTGTTTCATGGTAAACATAGAGTTAGTAGTGAAGGGCATGGAGTTGGGGTAGGAAAGACCACTAACATTTTGTCTTTAAGCCATATACCAACCTAATTGTTTTTTTGTAGAGTTGCTTAGAAAGTACTCTTTACAGTGAAAAGTACTTATGCTAATGTTTTTCTTTTCTAGGTAACGTTGTACAACACCGATCAGGATGGTAGTGATAGCCCACGCAGTAGCCTTAACAACAGTCTCTCAGACCAGAGTTTGGCATCTGTTAATTTGAACAGTGTTGGAAGTGTGCATAGTTATACACCGGTAAGTCTTGGTGAAGTTAACTTCTTTGTTGAGACTCCTTGAGTGCTTAAAACTAAGCCAAATGTCATTGAAGTGCGAATAAAAAGTGAAGATGTGTATTTTTCACTAATTCATTTAGCTTAGATATGTAGAGCAGATTCCTACCTTGATAGTGTTTTAATGGGTACTTATATTTTACCAGGTTCGATACACATATGTGGTTATACTGTGTTTTATTATTTTGGTCTACTTACTTGTTCTCTGTCCAAGTGAAAAGTAATTGGAATAGGAAAAAAAGTTGTACTTTAGGAAAGCTGTATTTGATGATACTTTACAGTCCTTTGTAAAAGAGTTTAGAGAATGTGTATACTGCCTTGTTTTCCAGCTATAGACCTGAGAAGGGAATTCTACAAGCCTCAGAGGTTAGGATGACTTGGTACCCAATTGTTAACCAGTCTTACGTGTTTAATTTTGGTCTGGAAAACAAAGCTATACTATAAAGGGACCGGTGTGTGCTGATTTTGTTACCTATTATAAGAACATGACCCTTGTGTTATCTGATACCTCTTTTCAAATCATCTGGCAACTGTCCTCCCTAGAAGACAGAACAGAGCCCAGGAGCCATCCACTGCACTGTACATTGGTTTAAATTTGATCTCACCAGATCACTGCCTGTTCCAGGATGAGTAAATAGGTAAAATCTTACATGGGACAAAGATATATAGCGGAGGGGAACCTTAAATAAGAAAATAACACAAAGGAAACCAAAACTGAGGGAGCAGAATTAAAATTCACATTGAATGTAGGAAAACAAAAGGTGGCTCCGTAAAACTGTTATCAGTGCTCTGGGGGAAAAAACCTAAAATATTCTTCCAGAATGCAGAAGTAACAGTTAAAGGAATAACAATTATGTCAGAGAAGATAATAGATCTGGAGAATTGAGAATTACAGGTGTCCCTGAAGAAGAAGCTAGAATAGTTGGTACAGAAGCAGTTTTCAAAGAAATAGAGATTATAAAAGTGTTACTGAGCAACAGCAAAAGTTAATGGGGGAAAACCTGTGTCTAGACCCATCACAATAAATTAAAAAATTTTAAAAGTTATCATCCATGTAAGTACTCTAGAAGAAGAAATTAGATGCATTCAGAGAAATCGTAATTCTCTTCTATAATGTTAAATACAAGAGGATAATGGAATAATACTGCACGTAGAGTTTTGAGGGAATAGGTTTGGATTTATAAATAGTATGTCCAGCCAAATTTACATTCATATGTGAAGTCAAGAGAAAGACACTCTTCGATACACAGAGCTTAAAAAGCTTTCCTATCTTTGTTTTCATGTGCCCTTCTGAAAAACATTACTTTGACAATCAAGAGGTGAACTAAATTAAAGCACTCAGTAATTATGAAATCATAATATAAAAGGACTAGTTGGAACATTGAAGCAAACTAAGCAAAGATTTAATTATTTTAAGTTGTTTTTAAAATAATGTGAGTGTAGAAAATCTTGACACCAAGAGTCCAGTATTACAAAATATAATGAAAGGAAAAAGTTAAATTTGTAGAACTAGGTGACAGAAGAAAGAACAAACGTGTCTATTATGCCAGTACATGCAGGAGGGTTAAACTTTACTTTGGAAAGCTAGACATCGTCTACTGTGCTTTTTCCTTTAACAAGACATCAAGTGGTCATCAAACATTCTGTAAGCAACAGGACAGCACCAGCTGCTGGTCGGGCTTGCCACATGTATATAGATTGATCCTATAAGGACACAGTGAGTCCAAATGCACAGAGATATTGTTATTACTTATGTGTAAGCCAGATGGGTATGGTTCCCCACATCCCCCAGGATGACACTGAACTGGAGGAGCCAGATGACAGACTTCACAAGTAGTGAGTCACTGTAGTGGAGGAACAAATTCCATATTACAGCTAAGCAGTTGTATGACTCGCAGCCCTACCCTAAGAGAGTAAAGTAGAAAGTCCCCTGCCTCTCTGGAAATAGGGAGGCAGTTGAGAAGTGTCTCTTGGCAGCTTCCTGCAAGATAGACAGGTGGACAAGAAACTGCCCCATGGCTGCCTCCTGCAAAATAGGAAGGCAGAGGAGAATTTGCTGCTCATAAGACCACTCATTCCATGTTCCAGAATAATCACCAAGGCTTAGGTCATCCTGCCATTGAGCCTTGCCTCCAGTGGCCTGTGTGGAGATGTGTAAGGTCACCAGAGTGCCAGTGGTGGAGCCATTCCCCTACACAAAATTCATATTTTTCTGTTATTGCAGACTTCTTGTGAGCATCAGTTTGAATGGCTGCATAAATTTACAGTGAGTGTTCATATTTTAATTTTTCAAAGCACTAAAAAAATGGCAGTTTACCACCCCTTGATAAAATCTTTAAGAGATACAGCTGATCTTTTTTTATTTCTAGTTGTGCTGCCTTCAGTGATAATTCTTATTTTCTAGGAGTTTATGGTGCTTTTTCTTTTTCTTTGCATAGCTCAAAGCCATGCTCTATTCTCTTTTTCTCAGAATCTTCTTTATCTGTTACCCTCATTTCTCATTTCTCCTTAGTTTCATTAAAAATTTTTTTTTTCTCTAGAAATGAAGAGTTAGGTGTATTGAGGCTCCTTGCTGCTTTGGGCAGCACCATGCAACCTCACCGTACTCACAGTATTTGAGTTTAAATACTTAAAGATTAATTGAATAAATGAACAAGACATGTTAGTAATATCATAGTAGAGTGGAGTTTGAGATGAAATTGCTTCAGGAGAAATCAAGGTGAAGATTCTCCAGAAACTGGAAGGGTTCCATGCCTAGCCCACCATTCATTTGTATGATCTTGGGAAGGTTATTTAAATTTTTTGAACTCTTTCCCCTCTTATGTGAAATGTGGAGATTGGATTAGAATCCTGTGGTTCTTCAAAATCCAAGTTAACGATTTTGTGCTCTTGTCCTTCATGTGTACGCAACTTAACAGAGGATGGGAAAGCCAAGGACAGGGACATTATTTCCTTTGGATTCTAGAAACTGTTTTAATATTTTCAGTTATATATTTTATGTAACAGACCAATTCTGATATATAGAGCTACTAAATTAGTAGTATTTTCTTTTAATGTTAGGTGACAAACCATCCAGAACCAGTCTCTCAGTCATTAACTCCTCAACAGCAGCCACAGTACAACCTTCCAGAACGAGACAAACAACTCCTTTTCTCAGAATATAATTTTGAAGATCTCAGTGCCTCATTTCGGAGCCTTTATAAGTCAGTTTTTGAGCAGTCACTTAGTCAACAAGGTGAGTGTTTACTTGGGGTGGGCGGTTTTTGTTTAATTGAAGTATAATTGACATGCATATCCTATTAATTTCAAGTTGAGTTTTTAAAATACCGTTTTATAAAGTAAATTTTTATTGAAAAATGTTCTTAAGAATTATTTTCACATAGCAGCTGTTGTATTTCTTGAATCATTGAACAGTATCATTGTGGTCAGGATTGAATAGTCTTTGTGCCTTTACTATACCCTGTATATATTTACATAATAGCACAAGAATGCAGATAAATTTCATCTTGCATACCTAATTCACTTACTAGTGGTGTCCTGGAGGCATAGTATTGAAGAATTTTGGCACTGCATCTGTGCCATGTAGGAGAAATCCTGCCGTGGTTAGTGATGTCTAGCACGTGTTTGAGTGGTAAATGTTGCACTACAGGAATAGATGTACCGTTCCTGTCTGTACTGACTGTTATTAGCAAAGAGGTAGTGGAATATGGTAGCACCAAATTTGCAATTTCATTTATGGCGCTTATAAATGAACATACTGGTTAGTGGGAAGCTCTGGGTCACTGGTTTTTGTTTTTTTTTTTAAAGATTTGATTTATTTATTTAACAGAAAAAGGGAACACAAGCAGGGGGAGTGGCAGAGGGAGAAGTAGGCTTCCCGCTGAGCAGGGAGCCCGATGTGGGACTTGATCCCAGAACCCCAGGATCATGACCTGAGCCAAAGGCAGACGCTTAACGACTGAGCCACCCAGGCGCCCCTGGGTCACTGTTTTATACAACATACTTAAATCAGATTTTAACACTAAAAGTGATTTTGGTTAAGATGCTCTGTTACATCTCAGCCAAATGCTAGATTGTTGCTATTATGTGTTACTGTCCTTTAGCTGCTGGTTTTATTTTAGTCAGAGTCATGTGATAGGATTAAGATGTTGCATTGTCCTTCCCCCATAAATACTAATCAGAAATTGTTGGGAACTCTACTATTGCAGCACTTCCTAATTGCTTTGTTTGGCAGATTATTTCCACCCCAACTCAGAGAGTGTACCTGTTCACAGTTAGTGAACAAAATAGACAAAAATCCCTGTGTTTATAGAACTTACGTTTTAATACTTAACCATTGTCAGATACTTCAAAAGTTAATGTTATATACAAGTGTTATATATTGATGAATATCAGTAACTTGTACAGGAAGCTGGTTTTTCTGGTTAAAGTAAGATTCATGTATTTTTCTCATTTTGAATTTTCTATTTATGAAAGTAGAAAAAGAACTAATAAAAGACTTTGCTAAGGAGATCCAGATGTGGTGATCAAAATCGAAAAATACTGGCTTTGAAATAGAAATGACAATTTCTGAAGCTCTTAATGATATTTCATTACACTAATTAAATATTTTAAAATATATTTATTTATTTGGGGGGGTTGGGCAGAGGGAGAGAGAGAATCCTAGCACTCTCCCTGCCAAGCGTGGAACCTGATGCAGGGCTCAGTCCCATGACCCCAAGATCATGACCTGCACTAAAACCAAGAGTCAGATGTCCAACCAACTGATTCACCGAGGCACCCCTTAAATTTTATTTTAAAAACAGTTTGGGGGGTGCCTGGGCAGCTCAGTCAGTTGATTAGTCCAACTCTTGATTTCAGCTCAGATCTTAATCTCAGGGTTGTGAGTTTGGGCCCTGTTTTGGGCTCCATGCTGGACATGGAGCCTACTTTAAAAAAAAAAAAAGTGGAATTGAAAAGGTTGGTGTAGATCATACCTGGGTTCCCTTTTAAAGTGCTAGGACTTTATTGGAAATAGACAATGAAATAACTGCTTTTTCTCATCTTACTGTAAGAACCCTATAGATTCCCTCCAAATGACAGTTTTCCAGGGCCAAGTCAAGTACTTTTATATTAACTCTTCTGCCTATAAAACTATCTTAACTTACTAGGTTCTAAGATTATCTTACAATGTACTCTAATACAATTTTGTTATTAATGGGCAGTGTGAGAATATTTTCATTTAAAATGTTTGATTCTTTTATTAACTGATACTGTGCTGCAGGATTTTATTTTTCATTTAATAAATTCGTTGTGTTTTGGTTCAGTAAAACATTGTACGTGCCATCCTTTGGGATATGAAAATAGCCTAGTTGTGTTGAACCAAATATCATAATAAGATGTATGAAAATGAGCATCTACCTGCATGCAAACCAAGAGTACATTATTTTTAACATTAGACACTTCTGGCCTAATCATAATTATCATCATAGCAGCTAACATTTACTGAGCTCATCTGCACCCTGCACTTCCACCATGGCATTTAATCCTCACAACAATTCTGTGACAGATATATCCATACCCATCTATAATTGAGGTAATTGTGACTTGCAGAGATTAATAACTTCCCAAAGTTACCAGGTGTGCAGATGGCAGTACAGAGACTTTAATCCTTACTTTCTAGTGCTATAAATTATGCACTAAAATATGTGTCTCAAGAACATTCCATAAACCAAATGAAAAAGCAGTGAAGATGGCTGTTTTGTTTTGCTTAGTCTTCAATTAGCAATAATCGCGCCTTGGATAAACCTCATTGGCTACAATACTGCCCCTGCGCAAAGCTTGTTTTGCTTAGTCTTTTTAAAACATTTTTATTTATTTGAGGAAGAGGGAGAGAGCACAGAGAGAGAAGCAGACTCTTGCTGAGCAGGGAGCCCGATGCAGGGCTTGATCCTAGGACCCTGAGATCCCGTCCTGAGCCGAAGGCAGACACTTAACCAACTGAGCCACCCAGGCGCCCCTGTGTTCCTTAGTCTTGAGAATTCAAGCCACCTTTGACTTAAAAGTTTTTGGAGCCATCAAAGAAAGAGTTCAGAAATAACTGGGCCTTATTTCTCTCCTCCACCTCTGTCAAATCCTTGGTCTTCAGGCCTGTAGAGAATCATCCGGAATGTGACCCAATATTCACACACTTTTCCCCTAACATTTCCTCAGTCTTTCAAGACTTCTTCTTTTTCTTTTTCTTTTTCTGAGAGGGAGAAGAGAGAGGGGCAGATGGAAAGGGAGAGAGAATCTTAAGCAGGCTTCATGCTTTGCACAGAGCCCAACGTGGGGCTCAGTCTCACAACCCTGAGATCATGACTTGAGCCGAAATCAAGAGTCAGATGCTTAACTGATTGAGCCACTTAGGCACCCCAGGTACTGCCTTTTCAAGGACGGCTTTTCCAAATCTTCAGCTCCTTCCTAGCTGAACAGGCAAGAAGCAGTGTTCCTGAATGCCCTCGGTATACTTCTGCATTAGTACCGACATTATTGGACATAATCTCCTTAAGTGTCTGTCCCTTCTACTAGATCATGAGCTACTCGAGGCTAGAGGGTGGTGTTTCTTACTCTTCTTAGTAATCCCAGAGACTGGTGTATGGTGGATGTTCCATCAACACTTTTTCAACTGAGCCAGTATTGCTTCCTGACAATGTATGCCTCTGCTCTATTAATAATTTTGTACATGTCTGCCATAAAATATAACTGAAATCTGACTGTGAATGCTCTTGCTTTCTCTGACTGTGTCTAGGTTTGATGACCATCCCTTCCGACTCTTCCCAGCAGTCCCACACCTCGTGTTCGTATCAGCACTCTCCTAGCAGCACAGTGAGCTCTCACCCACATAGCAACCAAAGCAGCCTGTCCAACAATCATGGCGGTGGCCTCAGCACCACGGGCAGTAATTCGGTTGCACAAGTCTCACTGCCCCACTCCCAGATGCACACACAGCCGTCTCCACATCCGTCCCATCGACAGCATGGTTTACCACAGCATCCGCAGCGTCCCCAGCACCCAGCATCACACCCGCAGCAACACAGCCAGCTCCAGCCCCCTCACCCCCAGCACCCCTCTCCACATCAACACATACAACATCATCCGAATCATCAGCATCAGACGTTAACACATCAGGCACCCCCACCCCCACAACAGGTATCCTGTAATTCTGGTAAGTTTGTGTCTCCTGACTTGCGTTTGGCAGTGAATTAGGATCTGTTCTTTGTTATCTGAGGCTCATGTGTATTTACTACCGAAACCCTTCTCATCTGTCTCCTTTTATGTTTTCTTGTTATAATCCTATAGTTGTAACTCATTCAGTCCATACGTTGATCTGGAGATTTTTTTTTTTTTTAAAGATTTTCTTAGCACAAGATGGGGGAAGGTCAGGGGGAGAAGCAGACTCCCCACTGAGCAGGGAGCCCAATGCAGAATTCGATCCTGGGACTTCAGGATCATGACCTGAGCCAAAGGCAGTCATTTAACCAACTAAGCCACCAAGGCGCCCTGGAGATTTTCTTGATTAAAATTGATTGTGACAACATAGGCAAACTCAGCAACCCTTACAGGTTTTGGTGTTAACTCTCATTTTGTCCTTCTGGAAAACCAGTGTTTTTGTGAGCATTTGAAAGAAGAATGGGATACACAATCTGTTTGCAATCTATTATGATTCGGAGTCGTATAGATGAAAGAGAATAGGTCAGAAAAACCTGTTTTTGAATCTTCATTATGACTCGTATGACCTTGCATTACTTCTTTTAGTCTTACTATTTTCTCATCTATAAAAATGGAACTAAAATACCCTGATATACAGTGTTGTTATGAGGATCGCATCGAGAATGCAATAGGAAGTGCCTCGTCTGGTACCTTGCCTTATAAATATTCAGAAAATGTTCCCACTCTTCCTTTCTTTGCTTATTCCTGCCCAGGATCTCATTTTAGAAAGATAGATTGCAAAGGAAGAAAATATTCTTCATATCCTGGTTTTTAAAAAATCTGTTGCTCTTAAGTTAGGTCTTGATGGTTTCTGGTGAGATGCTTAACTGACATGGCTCACAGACCAGACATCTGCACTGCAGAACTCCCAGGGGTGCCTGGGACCACATAGACTACAAGGTGAATGGGGCCCTTTGGAGTTGAACATATACAGATCCTTCCCTTAGCTTACTTGGCTGTCCACTTACCAACCAAATCACTGATGAGATTTTTATCCTGGAGGGACAATTTCTAAATGCTAGCTGGTGCTAGTTCTTGCCAATTAAAATTGATCATTATTTCAGGCAATTAAACTACTGTCGGAAATGATCTTTAGATACTGCATACTGTCTCTTATATTCTGACTTCGCTATAAAGCTTAAGTTTTTCTGAAACTTGCCTTTTTTACAAAGTGGAAAAATAATACAGTATTTTGGGGAGAATTACATAAGGTACAAAAATGCATATCAGGGTATTTGAAATTTATTAAGTTCTTTTCACAATTTTGTTTTCGCAGTTAATAATTCTAAGTAGGTTCTAGAATAAAGTTGAAAATTGGGTATAGTTCTTGATGGAAAGTCTCTTAAAACATCTTGAAATTATTTTTAGGTCTAACCTAGAGAAAAAGGTACAAGTATAGCCTCCCCTTTTTTTACTTTGTTAGTCACTGTTGTCTCCCTTAAAAAAATTTTTTTTTTATTTAAGTATAGTTGATGCGTAATGTTACATTAGTTTCAGATGTACAACACAGTGATTCAGCAACTCTGTACTTTATGTTATGTTCACAAGTGTAGCTGTCTGTCACCATACAATACTATTAAAATGACACTGACTGTATTTCTTATGCTATACCTTCTATACCAGTGACTTACTCATTCCATCACTAGAAGCCTGTACCTCCCACTCCTCTTCACCCATTTTGCCCACCTCCTCCCCCCAACCCATTTGTTCTGTGTATTTAAAAATGGGACTGTTTCTTTTTTGTTTTGTTTTCAGATTCCACATATAAGTGAGATCATATGATATTTGGCTTTCTCTGTCTTAGATCACTTACACTACTGCCTACCTTTTAATGTCAGTACACCCTTCAGAAAGTTAAGCTTGTTCTTAATATGATTTTAAGGATTGACTAATGATTGTAGAGATTTGGCGTCAGTAGAAGTCTGATGCTCTGGTCATACCTTTCTGTTAAGTCTAATGATTGCCAGGTGAAAACAGCTGAAAACAATCCATCATGTGCTCTTAGTGGCCTGTTGTTATACCAATGGTAGCTTACCAGAGAAGGAAAATAGCTTTTCACCTGGGGGAGTTGGGAATAATCATTGTGGCTGTGATAATCTCTTTGAGTTATAAATTTCTCATTTATAAGATGAGACTAAGCAGGTTGTCTTTAATAGGGAAGGAATGGAAGAAACAGTTTTTGAGTTCCCATTATGTGATAGGCAATTTAGATACATTATCTCCTGTTACTCTCCCAAATCAACTATAAATTGCCACATTTAATAGATAGGAAAAGTGTAACTCAAAGAAGTTAAGCAGTTTGCTCAAGATCAGAACTAATAAGTGGTAGAATTGGAGTTTATATTCCTGGCCTGTCAGGACTTCAAAGCCCGTAACACCAGTAATTCCAAAAGGACTAAAATGAGTAAACATTTACTGAGTGGATCTTGCAGAGATTGCTTTGTATTGCCAAGTCAACATTTATTATAGGTAATGGACTTGAAAGTTTCATAGACTTGAATGTGGCTCACTGGAGCATTACTTACTTTTCCCTAACAAATTTCTCCCTAAATTATGAGTTGCCTAGGGGCAGAATCATGTTGTCTCTGGTTCGTTGTTTATTTGAAAAAAATCCATAATTGGCAGATTTTTGTAAATCAAGTAACCAATAGTTGATACAGAGTTATCTGTAATGTAGCAAAACATCCTTTTTATTAGTTCTTACCTTCATCCATCCAGGAGTGATTCTGATAACAGAATAATTTGTGCAGCAGTCACTGAATGGAGGATTTTCTTCCTCTACTCAGCACTATCTCTGAGTGCAGCTCAAACCCCATGCCCCTGAGTGGTGACCACTTTGCTGACATACAGACTGTGGAGTCTTAACCCTCCTGATGATACCACACCAGAGGATACTATTCCTGACTAGAAGTGCCCTGGTTTGGATTCATCAGCATTTCTTAGAGATGTCTCAGCCCTTTCTTTTGCTACTTTGCCAGGAGGACTGTGCTAAGGCATTTCTCTCTCTTAAGGTTGCCTTGTAAGAAATTTGTTCTCTTGCTGTACAATGTAATTTACCTCCCTTAAGTCAGTGCTTTAAATTATCCTGTGTGTTACTTCTAAATGTGAACCTGCCTCTGAATTATAAAGAACGTATCTCTTAATGTCATAACAAGACAGGAAAATGAACTTCATGTAGTGGGGAGGGAGGATGTATTGATTTGCCTGACTTGCCCTGCCTGGTCATTCATTTGTACTATACAAATGTAAAAAGCGGTAATCAAGTTTGACATTATAAGGTGATAGGGCAATTTGTAAGCTGTCAGACTGGAGCATAGAAGCACTGGGTTCAAGGTTTAGATTCATCATAGTGACCTTGCTAAGTTATGCCACCTCTCTGGGTTCAGTTTCTTTTTATTTATAAAATGAAGAGAAATAAGACCCCTTGCCTGTTTCACAGAGACGATTGCCCCAGCACATGATATGATGGGTGTGAATCCATTTGTAAAACTGGATGGGGATCTATCAATGTAGGAATAAGCCCAGCTCATTGTCTTCCCCGTACCATATACTTCAAACTTAGCCTATCCAAGATTTATGTACTGTCGATATTATTTCTATAGGTGTTTCAAATGATTGGTATGCAACACTTGATATGCTAAAAGAAAGTTGTCGGATTGCCAGCAGTGTTAATTGGTCAGATGTAGACCTTTCACAGTTCCAAGGTGAGTATGGATTCTTTCCGACCTACAACCAAAAATACATGATCCCTTTTTCTCTCATAGATAAAATTTTCTTTGTAGTAGAAATATCTCCTTATATAGTGTTTTTTTTGTAGTTAGTAGTACACTTAAAAATAACATTGCAAAATTCATGATTAAGTCTTTCAGTCAATTGATGCAGCAGAGGATCAGAGGTAAGAGTTCTGAAAGAAGTTTGGCCACATTTAGAAGTAATTAGGCTTTGAAGAATTTTTAAATATCATTCTTCGTTGCATGGTAAATCACTACCAGTGGAAATTTTGAGGGCTGAAAAAAATTGTGTCTTTATTTTCCTTGCAGTGTTGTAGAACAAATGATGCTAACTGTATTTCTAATGCTTTCCTCATAGGTTTGATGGAGAGTATGAGACAGGCAGATCTGAAGAACTGGTCTTTGGATCAGGTTCAATTTGCTGATCTCTGTTCTTCTCTTAATCAGTTCTTTACACAAACTGGCCTTATCCACTCACAGAGTAATGTTCAGCAAAATGTCTGTCATGGTGCCATGCATCCAACAAAACCTTCCCAACACATTGGAACAGGTATGGGTTTAATTATCTTCTTGATTTTCTCTTTCTCATTTGTGTAAAATTTAGTAAGTGAGGCAATTTGGTATGTTGTTAATGGTGACTAATCCATTTACATCTTTTTATTTCTAAGAAATTAAGTAAAATAACATATATATAATATTTTAGAAAAATTGAGGTAAAGAGACTTTTTCTGTCATGATTTCTATGATTATTTTATTATGATTGACTTTCCTTTGTGATCTTTAACCTTTTAAGTTCTCAAACAAGAATTAAATGTTTTAAAGATACTTACATTTTTATAAGAACATAGTTATGAAATTATATCAATTTAAATTTGTTTAGACTTCCAATGAAAATCAACATGTCTTATTTTATATATCTTCTAAGAATGTTAAGATTAAAGTTCAAAGTTTACTTGAAGAATACAGTAATGGTAAATAGTCTTGTCGGTGTTTTACTCTGGACTCGAAATTCGTGCTCTGTATTTTTCATCTCATTCTTCCTTTTCTCTTTACCCTTGTAGCCATCTCTTTTACTCTGATTGCAGCGCCTTTTCATTCTGTAGGTATTTAATATCCAAGTGCTTTTTCATTTAATTTCTTGCCAAACTTTTGGGGCGCCTGGGTGGCTCAGTCGTTAAGCGTCTGCCTACGGCTCAGGTCATGATCCCAGGGTCCTGGGATCGAAAGCCCCACATCGGGCTCCCTGCTCAGTGGGGAGTCTACTTCTCCCTCTCCCACTCTCTCCACTTGTGTTCTCTCTCTTGCTGTCTCTCTCTCTGTCAAATAAATAAATAAAATCTTAAAAAAAAAAGTTCTTGCAAACTTTTATCTCCAAGTTGACTTACTTTCTGTTCATTATTTTGGTTTTACATATGATGCATTTTTAAAAGTCTTTTTCTTTCCTGAGTGGCTTTCTTCAACCATTATCCTAGCTTATTTCACATATTTGGTCTTTCCATATTCTCAAGACCCCCAGCCAGGCTGTATCTTTCTTTTTGAGAAATCTTTATTTCTGTGTCTTTTTTTTTTTTTTTTTTTAAGATCTATTTATTTATTTTAGAGTGAGAGAGAGTGTGCAAGTCGGGGGTGGGGGGACAGGGGAGAGGGAGAATCTCAAGCAGATGCCCTGCTGAGTGTGGAGCCTGACTCAGGGCTCAATCCCACAACCCTGAGAACATGACCACAATCAAGAGTTGGGCACTTAACCGACTGAGCCACCTGTGTCTTTTGATAGGAATCTTACATCATCTTTGCCGCTTCCATTTGAATAGTTTACCTAACTTGAAACCCTCAGTGGCTGTTTGATTTTGGTGACTTAATTCATTTCATAAATTATATCCATGCAAGAGCCTCATTCATTGCTTGGCATATTGGAGGTACTTTATTTTTTGATGACTCTTAAGTTCCTTTCTCCTTCTCCCTCTTCCTCCCTCCCTCTCTCTCTCTCTCACTCACTCACTTCCTTTTTGGTATCTTTCGGATATATACCCTTTGAAAAAAAAATTTTTTATTATAAAATGTAACATAGAATTCACCATCCCAGTCATCCATAAGTATCTAGTTCAGTGGTATTAAATATATTCATAATGTGCAACTGTCATCACCATCCATCTGCATGGATGGTGATCTTGTAAAGATCTTTTTTCATCTTGTAAAGTGGATATTCTGTACTCATTAAACAATACCCCCCACACCCATTCTAACCCCTGTCCCCCTGACCCTCCGCCAAGCCCCTGGCAACCACCATTCTACTTTCTGTTTCTGATTTTTTACTACTCCTATGTATCTCATGTAAGTGAAATCCTACAGTATTTGTCTTTTTGTGACTGGCTTACTTCACTTAGCATGTCTTCATCCATGTTGTGGCATATGTTAGAATTTCCTTCCTTTCTATGGCTCTGTATAGCCCATTGTATGTATATACATTTGCTTATATACTCATCTGTTGATGAACACTTGGGATACTTTCATGTTTTAGCTATTGTGAATATCATGTTCACACCAATATTTTTTCAAGGCCCTGCTTCCAGTTCTTTTGGATATATACCCAGAAGTGGAATTCCTGGATCATATGGTAATTCTGTGTTTCATTTTTTGAGGAACCACCATACTGTTTTTTATGGTGGCTCTACCATTTTATATCCCCACTAACAGTGAATAAGGGTTCCAGTTTTTCTACATCCTTGCCAACATTTTTTTTTTTCTCTTTTCTTTTTAAAAAAATAGTAGCTATTTTACTGGGTGTGAGGTGGTATTTCATTGTAGTTTTGATTTGCATTCCTTGATGATTAGTGATGTTGAATATCTTTTCATCTATTTATTAGCCATTTTTGTATCATCTTTGGAGAAATGTCTGTTCAGGTCCTTTGCCCATTTTTTAATCTGGTTTGGTTTATTATTGCTGAGTTTTAGGAGTTCTCTATTTTTTTGGATATTAACCCTTTATCAGATGCATGATTTGTGAATATTTTCTTTCATTCTTTTGTTTTTTATTATGTTGATAGTGTCTTTTGATGCACAATTTTTAAATTTTTCACTAAGTCCAACTCATCTATTTTTTCTTTCGTTGCCTATGAGTTTGGTATCCTATCCAAGAAATCATTGCCAGATCCAGTGTCGTGAAGCTCCTGCCCTGTGTTTTCATCTAAGAATTTTATAGTTTAGGTCTTACATTTAAGTCTTTAACCCATTTTGAGTTACTTTTTATATGTGGTGTTAGATACGGGTCTAGTTTCATGCTTTTGCATATGGATACCCAGTTTTCCCAGCACCATTTGCTGAAAATACTTTCCTTTCCCCCATAGAATGGTCTTGACACCTTTGTGAAAAATCATTTGACCATATATGCAAGAGTTCATTCCTGGGTTCTCTATTTGATTGCAGTGTATACTATTTGTTTTTATGCCATTACCACACTGTTTCAACTACTATATTTTTGTAGTAAGCTTTAAAATCAAGATGTGTGAGTCTCCCTGCTTTGTTGTTCTTGTTCAAGATAATTTTGGCTGTTCAGGGTCTCTTGAGATTCCCTATACATTTTAGGATGGGATTTTCTGGTTTTGAAAAAAAAAAAAAAGACTGGAATTTTTGATACGGATTACATTGAATCTGTAGATCACTTTGGAGAGTATTGACATCTCAACAATATTGTCTTCTAGTCATGAACATGAGATGTGTTTCCGTTTATTTATTTCATCTTAAATTTTTTTCAGCAATGTTTTTGTAGTTTTAATTGTACAAGTCTTTTCACCTCTAATTCCTAAGTATTTTTTATTGCCATTATAAATGGAATTGTTCCTGTAATTTCCTTTTCAGATTGTTCATTGTGTAAAAATGGAACTGATTTTCGCATGCTGACTTTGTATCCTGCTACTTTGCTGAATTTACTTATTTTAACAATTTGTTTATTTTTGGGGTGGAATCTTTGGAGGTTTCTACATATAAGATCATATCTGTGAACAGAGATAAATATACTTACTCCTTTCTGATTTGATTTGGATGCCTTTTATTTCCTTTTCTTGCCTAATCGCTCTGGCTGGAACTTCCAGTATGTTGAATAGAAGTGGACATCCTTGCTTCGTTCATGGTCTTAGAAGAAAAGCTTTCAAGTTTTTCACCATTGAGCATGATGTTTGCTGTGGGATAGTCATAGATGGCTTTTATTATGTTTAGGTAGTTTTCTTTTATTCATAATTTGTTGAGTGTTTTTAATTATGAAAGGGTGTTGACTTTTGTCAGTTACTTTTTCTGCATCAATTGAGATGATCATGTAGGTTTTTTCCCTTTCATTCTGTTAATGCGGTGTATTAAAGTGATCACTTTTCATATGTTGAACCATCTTTTTATATTCCAGGAATAAATCTCACTTGATCACGGTGTTTAATCCTTTTAATACAGTATTGAATTAATTTTGCTAGTATTTTGTTTGGGATTTTTGGATCGGTGTTCATAAGGGATATTGGTCTGTAGTTTCCTTGTAGGTGTCTTTGTCTTGCTTTGGTATCAGGCTGATTTTGGCCTCATAGGATGAGTTAGGAAGTACTTTCTGTCTTTCAGTTTTTTGGAAAAGTTTGAGAAGGATTGATGTTAGTTCGTTAAATATTTAGTAGAATTCACCAGTGAAGCTATCAGGTCCTGGGCTTTTCTTTGTTGGGAGATTTTTGGTTACTAATTCAATCTTACTAGTTTTAGGTGTATTCAGATTATCTGTTTCTTTGTGATTTAGTCTTGGTGGCTTTTGTGTTTTAGGAATTTGTTCATTTCCTTTAGGTTATCTAATATGTTGGTGTGCAGTTGCTCATAGTACTCATATGATCCTATTTCCTTCCCTTTTTGGTGGTGGGGGGAAATCCTGCTTTTTGTAGAATCAGTTGAAGCATCCCCACTTTCATTTCTGATTTTAGTTATTCTCTATTTCATTCATCTCAGCTCTGATCTTTATGATTTCCTTTTTTCTGCTAGCTTTGGATTTATTCTGTTCTTTCTGTAGGTCTTTAAGTTGTAAAGTTAGGTTGACTGAGATCTTTCTTGTTTTTTAATGTGTTTTTTATAGCTATAAATTTCCCCCTTGACACTACTTTTGCTGTTTTCCCTAAGTTTTCATAAGTTACGTTTTGATTACATTTGTCTCTAAGCATTTCCTAATTTTCCTTGTGATTTTCTTCTTTGATCCGTTGTTTGTGTTTAATTTCCACAAATTTGAGAACTTTCCAGTATTACTTCTGTTACTGATTTCTGACTTCATCCTCTTGTGGTCAGAGAAGATACTTTGTGTTTGTGTATCTGTTGTTTAAAATCTGTTGAGACTTAATTTGGAGCCTAACATATGGTCTATCCTGGGAAATGTCCTATGTGCACTTGCGAAGAGTGTGTACATTGTTGTTGGGTAGAATGTTCTGTACTTGTCTATTAGATCTAGTTAGTTTATTGTGTTAAATCCTCAGTTTCCTTACTTCTATATGGTTGGTCTATCCATTATTGAGTGTGGGGTATTTACATCACCAACTATCA